CTTCACATGCTCACACTGACGTCACAGTCCTGACTTTCGCAGACAACACTTGCTTAAAACGCCTCTTTAGGTCCTGCATATTGGGGGACTTGGGACGGGGGATGAGGGGCGAGCGCTTCTTCTCCGTCGTGGTGCTGGCGGCACTGTTTGAAGGGCTGGTGGTAGGTGGTGGCTGTTTTGCCAACTGGCCGCACAACCTGTGGAAGGCACCGTGGACCTGGCTGTAGTCCTCGCTGGCTGACACTTCATAGAAAGAGCAGCCCAGAGTAGTGGCCAGCAGAGGGCCCTCCTGTGAGTCTATTCTCCTCAGGTGCACCAGGTCGGCCTTGTTGGCCAGCAGGATCACGGGGGGCACGTTGGCACCGGCCGCACGAGTGACCAGCTGGTGCAGCTGTGCAATCTGGTCAAAGCTTCTCCGGTCTGTCACTGAATACACCAGCACCACCGCGTCTGCCCACTGGATGGAGCAGCTGACATGGTCAGGTAGACTGATGCCATTATCTGTCAACTGGAAAGCAAAAAAAAAAGTTAAATTAATGGGGGTCTTTTCCTAGTGTGAGAACAGATTAAACCTCCTCTGACTCTGTCCATCTGATAGTCTGTAATGCCTGGAATGCTGACTGTAGCAGACGATGGACGAGGAGCGATAGAGTTACTCCTGCTAAACACAGAGGTGTGTGCTGTGTGTGGACCAGGGTATCATTTACTCTGGCCTCAGACGTACATTAGCCTAAATGGGAGATTAGACAGTCAGACCAAAGAAGTCTTTACTTCAAGGAGTTGGAAAAAAGGCACGTTTTACACCACACTTTTCATTAGTGTTGGACCCGTGCCCAATCAAGAGGGGCTGACTCTGCCAAAACAGTGAGCTATAGATTATAGTGTCTCAGCCGTGGATTAGCCACAGCTCCTCTCTGAATTTAACCATGTTTGCTCTCCCACCTACAGTCAGCACCAGGCTACAGAACCGAGTCACAGTCCAGGGTAAAAGGAGCCTCACCTCTGCCCCAGGAGTGTCCTGCACCTGGATGCTCACTTGTTCTCCGTCCACCTGAACTTCTCTTGAGTACAGATTACCTGCAACAACAACAAAAAGACAACGACATGTTTTATTATTTGTTTGACTTTGTAAGAGGAGAAGTATTTAAATACATGTTATAGACCGATTTATTCCTGAAACATTCCCGGGTCAGTGAACTCACCGGAGTTTCTCTCATAGTCCCCGATGAAGCGCCTGGTCAGGAATCTCACCACCAGAGCTAAAACAAAACAAAGCAAAGAGAAGCCGTTAATTATTATTATTCGTTACAATTAAAAACATCGTAGTAAAACATTCGAAATACAGAGAAGGTATATGTTTGTTGGTTTTTTTTTCTCTTACCTGTTTTGCCAACGCCGCTGCCTCCTATTACTGCTATCTTAATGGCTCGGTTGGACACCGAATATTCAGATGTTGGATATTCCGCGATGGTCGTCATGTTCTGGATCAGACGCATTTTTTTTTTTTCGTCGTCGTTCAGTTCTAGTTGAATAATCAGGGAAGAGAGACGTTGTCTGGTGTTGCGGTTAGAGTGGAGTTATTCCTCGTTCCAGCAGCGACACAGCAGCAGCTCTCAGTGAATGCTGCAGCTTACAGCGGCGCTACTGGTTTTATAGACCAGGAGCGGAGCTGCCGTCTGATTGGTCGCCGTACACCCTCCTGCTCCCTCGGCCCCCCTGCATCCCCCACGCGCATGCCCTCCTACACGTGTACGTAGACAAAAAAAAGTCCATGTAACAGATGGGATCTATAATGGAGCTGACGGAACGGAGTCATACTGCAGTCGGATGGATGGATGGATGGATGGATGGATGGATGGATGGATGGATGGATAGAGGGATAGATAGATAGATAGATAGATAGATACTGTAGATAGATAGATAGATAGATAGACAGACAGAGAGATCTTAAAATAAAAATGTCATCACTTCCTCTGTTGCACAACATGCTATTTTATATCGTTTCTTTTCAAACTGTAACATTTGGTTTTACCAGCCTCAGACAGATTATTTATATACTGTACATATCCAGGTATTATTTGGATAGATTGGTACTTGTTGAATCATTTTACAAAATGGAAATTAAAGTTCAAAATATTATTTGGTGATGAGTTTTCTATTGTTCTTAAGCCTAAAACTAAATATAAACTCTAAATGTTGGCCGTCTCACAGGGTGTGACTTATTCATGCTCTGTTTTTAATTCAACTGGTGCCTTGTTCTGACATGCCCTCAAACTAGTCCATCTTCTACACAGGGGGCGATGTCTGACAAATACCCTAACCCACCCTCACTCACTCTCTCTCTCACACACACACACACACACACACACATAGACACCTGACAAGAACTCATTCAGCATGCATGCTGTGAGCTGTGAAAACCACAATCCCGCATTCTCTTTATCATCCTGGATAATAAGAAAAAATTTGGACAATCGTCCACGTGTGGTAGCAGCAGCAGCAGCAGCAGTAGTTTTGTTTACTGTTTTGCGTGTCAGACCTCTGCAGCTGCTCTCTTTAACCTGCATCATCTCCTTGTCCCACTTTCCCTCGTTTGACACCCCCTCATCCCCCACCCTCCTCCCTCTCTCCATCTTTCATTCGTGCTCGTGTGCTCTGAGGTATTTTGGCGACCAGACTTTGCTGTGATTACAGTGTGGTATGTATTTTTGATAAGAGCCCTGATGACAGGCAGCTGCGCTGAAATGTAGAATTAGTGGATGTAGAGAGTGGTGAGCAGACACAGCACGTCAGGGTCACAGTAATGTAAATACAGATGGGGACTAATTTGATGATGTGTTAATTGCGTTCCTTACGGTTGGGTCCGTTTCACAAATGGAGCTCCAGCTCCTGCCTTTGTCAAAGAATCAATGGCTGACGTGCGCACCCTTCAGGCTATTGTTTGTAGGACAGAAAGCTAAAAAAAAGCGTAGGAGTCCTCACCTCCTGTAGCAACCGTAGAAGAATGTGAGGATGACACGTCGAAGAATGTCGGTGTAGGTGTTTTCCCTACGTTTGTCCCCATACAGGACTCACTGGTTAGTGAATAACTCCCTCTGGAACTCAGAGTGGATCATTTGAACATTACTCCTGAATCAGTGTTTTGTGGTGATTATTCATTTCTCACCACTGTGCTGAAACACCAATAAACCTCTCTTTACTCTCTGATGAGCTTTGTCATTTTATTTTCCCCCCCGGGGCACAGCTGTTGGTGAATTAAAATACCTTTGAAGACAGGAGTTAATGCTGAGAAGAGCGAGACCAGGGTGTCACTCACACTGAGGTGGGGACGGATTAGACTCAGTAGTTAAAATGGGGGGGTTAGTCCTCTGGCCGTGGCGTGGACAACTGACAAGTAAGAGTTGGGAGATATTCGCCGCCAACAGAGGAATGTGCTGCTGATTTGGGGGCAGGCATGAGGAGGTGGAGATGTCCTGAGAAGGATGTCCTTGTTGACACAGAGGTGAGGGCTGATTTCCCAAATAGGCCACACCTCCTTTTTTTTCTTCTTATTTTACAGTAGAGCTGAGGAAAGGCATTCAGCCTACATGTCCTCAGGTCTCAGTCCACAAAGGAAGGTCAATTGGGATATCAGAGAAACTGAGGCAGTGTACAATGGTCCCCTCGGGCACAGCCTCATGAGCCATGGTCATGTGTTTATCAGCACCGTGACAGATGCTTATCATTTCCATTGCCTTTAATCATGGTTTTAAAGGGTGTTTATTAGGAGGCAATCACTTTACAGTAGGTTCTATCCTGAAATTCTCGGGACTGTTTGAATGCAACCAGAAATTCTCCTAGTTCTTAGACGTTATTTTATTATTATTTTTTCAACACTGGGATGTTGTACGGTAGCTGCACATTTCAGCGGGAATGCATGGAATGGCCCTGTGAGAAGTGCATCAATTCACACATCTTTCATAGATCCTCTGGCCTGTTTGTTTATATCTACATTTGAATTTCCAGTGACCAATGGAAATTGTATTGACCTGCTGGCACAAGCCCACACAGAGGCAGAGGTTCTGTTTTTTTTCTTATTGAAATGTGTGTTGTGTGCTCAGCATTTGCATACCTCTGAATGTCAACAGCAGTGGAGAGGGAAAACAGCAGTGTGTGTGTGTGTGTGTGTGTGTGTGTGTGTGTGCATGCATGCTACACCGCCAGCTCTGAATGACAATAGTCCCACCCACCACACCTTCCTCAGTTAGCCAGCAATGCTAACTCTAAACTTTTACACTCACTTTTGTCAGACAGAAAGATAGAAAAAGTTTCATGCTCCACGATGTCCCGTTGATGTTCCTCGACTGATCCCGAGTGCAGCACTGTATAACTGCACGGTTTCCAATTCTCCTTTTCTGACTTAACGTCTGCTCATGCGCAGCACAGGGACAGACAGGGTGAAAAGGCGCGGGGCTAATCACAGAGGATCGGGGTATTTTTCGTCTGGCATGCATGTGACTGTAGCGTTGCATTTAGGGTAAGACATTAAAATCTGGGATTATCCTCCTTTCATTGACTGAGTTGTTGTTTTTCTGCTCACATGCAAAACCTGTGAGCAGAAAAAAAATCACACGTCGTATATTTAGTTTTAAACCACGTGAGGTGAAAGCTCCATGGTATTCTGAATAAATACGAATATTTTATTTCTCCAAAGAGGAAAATAATGTCTTCAGTTTAAAGAAAAACTAAAGACCATGTCTCTTTGAAGTCGAGTTTAAAAGATCAGAAAGGACACACAAAGAAATATAATACAGTACTTTTAACATAAAAGTACTGTATTATAGAATAGAACAATAACATTTATTAGATTAGCACCTACTGTACTATAATCCTTTTATAATGTTATCCTGTAGGTTGCAGGGTCTCTTGCACACCATGTTGTTTCACCCTCATTACAGGAAATAGAGCAAATCTGAAATGACAATTTATAAACTATTTTAGAGAAAATATAAAAAAAAAAAAAACAGTATTCAAGATAAACCTTTCCGTATCTTCTGCATGTTTTTACCTTAAGTTAATTTGTTATTTTTTAAAATGTGAAAACAGCTGCAGCTGTGGGCTCTTCCCATCATTGTTGAAGTGTTGGACTCTTTCATCAGTCATGGTAATACAACAACAGAAAACACAGGATGATTTGATTACGATCTCTATGTTATAATAATACAAAACGCTGAGATTTGTAATGAGCTCAAATCAGTGGCACACAGACAGATGGGGACACACGGCTCTGCACATGGGGTTTACAGCTCCAGATGCATGTATTTGGGCTACTATGAACAATTTAGACCTTCCCTAGGGTCTGGACTCCATGTCCATCTGTGTACTGCTGAAGAGAGGGTTTCATAAATGCAGACAGAGACCTTGTTGGCTGGAGCGCTGATCTGAGGATGGGTGGCCAAAATGAAGTTGCTGCCAAGTCCTGCTTCACATTCTGCTAGTGTTTTTTAGTTGTCAAATGATGCTGATAATGATGATGATTGACAATGAGATTAGTTTTCACTCTATCTAACCAGTAGAGCTGCTTAAAGGTGAAATCAACCTGCAGAGCTACTGTGCATCCACTGCATGCCCTGTTACAAAAGAAATTACAAAATTAAATTTGCGGTACTGTGATCAACTTTGTAATTCTAACATCGTGCTGTTATTTTGTCTTTCTGTTTAGAAAAAAAATCATTGATTTATCTGGACTAATCCTAATTAATCATGCTTGATTACAATCAGAGACGTTGCTAAGTGAGGGTACAAAAAATAACACTCCTCATCAAAAACCCAGAAAATCACCTGAGGTTACACTTTTATCTGTAGGAAGCTCCTGTGAGAGAGATTGTATCTTGTAGTTTTTTTCAACAAAAAGCTCTCCTTCAGAAAAGGCCTTTTCACTCAGACCGTCTGAATCCTTAACTGAATTACTTCTCTGTTCTGTACTCTGAACACAGTGTCTTCAACGGTACCACACTGCACAGCCGAGGAACATCTAATCAAGTCACATCAAATCAAGTTTCTTTGAACAGACCAAATTCACACATTTCTGTTGTTTTAAATCTGTACAGAAATGTCCCTCTTTTCCTTAGAACAGTTTTCTGGGATTATGTATTCAGTACAACATACATTCACTACATACAGTAACTGACAGTACTGAAGCAGTTTCCATTTCCATTTGACCACCTGTCTATCCACCTGTTTCCCTTGCTTACGCCAAAGCTGCTTAAACTTACTTAGGTGAACACAACACCGATAAACCCGCAGGAATTGAAGAAAGACACATAGGCCTTCTTCAACATCTCTGAGTCTCTTTTTTTAAAGTTCCTATAACATGTGCTGTCACCTAGTGGAATAATATTTATTTCTTTGCCTTTCACTGTCACATTGATGAACAAAGACAAATTATTTGCAGCAAATAAGTGAGGTTGTCTAGACCAGGAGTCACCAACTATTATTTGTCAAAGTGATTTTTCTGGACAGACACTCCACAGGGGGCAAACTCATACATTAAACATAAATTAAATAAAAATCACATTTTTATCTAACACTTACTTTGGAATCCGGTCATGGATCAGCCAGATTCAGCGTTCGGCCAGATTTGGCCCGTGGACCAACAGTTTATAATCACTAGTTCAAGTACAATAGTAAGAACGTGCAAGTCATTTGCGTCATAAGGTCTAAAAGTGCATGTGTGATGTCACTGATGACGGCGCACGTGCACTCTGATGTGAAGGTTTCTGTAGATTCACTGATTACTTCAACACCAGACTGACGTGTTTGTGTCACAGTATTTAGTTTATGTGCCTTATAGTGAGGTAACAAGAAAAAACTTTAAATGAACAGGAATTTCCTCCATGCCCCTGCAGTCAGTGCACATTTTGATGACAGGAAACTGAAGACATTTACTAAAACATCCTTCAACACTTTGACTGTGACATTCGTCCCTCATGACTCAGGGCCCTGCATGCATTTATATGTCTATAGAAACCCACACAGAGCGCCACGTTTTCTGAAGAGCAACGGCGCTCGCAAACATCACACAGAGAATGGATGCAGTGTGTGTGTGTGTGTGTGTGTTTGTGATAGATGAATAGTCTCCTGAATCTCAAGGTTATTCTCTGTGAAGACATATCAGCGGAAGAGGAAGTGTGATGAGAATTCAACAGTTATTAAAAATGAGTCGAGCAGACATTCACGTGTTATATTCCGAGGCTGCTGCAGCCTTGTCCTCAGTGCTGGGACACAGAAGGTGTGAGAGAGACAGATACACAGGCCAAACTGCTGCAGGTAATAATGAAGGGCATGTGTCTTTGTTCCTGAAGGGTACACTCTGTACCCTACGGGTACAAGTACTGCCACTAGGACTGGCACCAAGCTGAATGACAATAAATAAATAAATAGGACATGCGTCAGACATCCTGGAGACAAGACNNNACAGAGGCCGGTGGTTTTACATTTTACACGGACAGACCCGTTGCTGAGTTAGGCGACGGTAGATCACGCCTTGAGACTAAGAGAGACAGAGACCGAGCTCAGGCTTTCACTTCTTTGACGCATGAGAGAAATTCAAGGCGAGCGCTGAGGTGTTTCTATTATACAGACACTCATTTTTGTAGATAATAGAGAAAACACCTGCGCAGATCTGTCTTTTCTATGCAAGTGCGTCAAAGAAAAAAACTCCACTCAGATACTGATATGTTTTAAACTGACATATTCATACATCCAGCCTTGGTTTATGGTGGGACCACAGGGGGTACAACACCACAGCCAACACACTGCAATGACTCAGAGGAAATTGAACAACTCGAAATGAGTGCTGTGGTGATTTTTTTTTTTTTTTCTGAATTTCTGTGACAATTTTAAACTTCTTTTTGATAGGATTCTGTTTGGTTTCTTTCACAGCAGGTGACCACCTTTTTCTTTGCCTTATTAAAAGAACTGTTCTTTTAGTTTTCAATTTATAAAAATGTATTCAAATTGGGCATTTAAGGGATGTATTTTAAAATGATTTAGTTATTTTTTTCAAAAGTTATGAATTGTAAATCTCCATAATACAACAACTCCTGTCTAAGAACCTTTTGATTTATCCTCGTACATACTGTATCAGCGATCCCTCATACTTGATACTGATACTTGGTTTATGGCATATGTACCAAAAAAGGCCTGTGGAAAAAAACAACTTGATCATAGATTCTTAATAGTTTAAATTGTATGAGGTACGTGGAAATAGATGGTATTCATTGATCTCAAAATAATTGTATAATTTTTTTTATAATTGTTTAAAAAATACAAATACTTTGAAAAAGAACAAGAGAATTTTTACGAGTTTCTGGATTCAACTTACAACCTTTTTAATGAATTTTACTATATAATACAAGACGAGACAAAATCTCAAGGTCTGAGCTGTGTTAAAGCTCTCACAGACACAGAACCATTGTGGTCACACATTATATAAAGCCCTCACAATTGTGAAGCTGTTGCTTTTTTTCCAGGTAAACCTTGAGAAGACATTTACGTGATGGACAAAACGGGGAAAAGGTTCACTCCCCACCGCTTCCTGCAGCTGTCTGGCCATGTGTTGTTACATCAGACGGCAGTCAAGGTAGTTCTTCAGAGCCACAGACAAAGGCCAAGCAGGCCAGCTCAGGAATCTGCTGGAAAACACGCAGCCGACATGAACCTGGGCATGAAAGTGTACTGCATGTACAAAGTGTTTGGCTAATAACAGCCAGTTTGGGGGAAGGTGATTGCAGGAACCCGTTGTTCCCCTTTTGTTCAGACAATATTACAATAAGTCTACATACTGTATAATGACAATCTGTGGAGTGCTATACATCAGTTTCACGCTGAACTTTTGACTCACTCAGACAAACATACAATTCACCCGGGTGTGTGCATCAGGCGGCCACAGTGAACTTGTCTGCTCCCATCTATCTAACAACCCAGCTATTGTGCAACCGTCTGTGTTTCACTGAGTGATGAGGTGCAGAACACCAGGACATCAGCCGAGGTGCAGGAGCGTGTGTGTGTTCTCGAGGTTGAAGTATACAGTTGCACTTAGAGATGGAATATAATGTGAAATATTTGGAGTAAAATGACATCTTTAAAAAATCATGAGATTCAATGTATGTAAATGTAGGAAATGTTAAACTGCAGTGAGTGCTAACAAAACCTCTCTCATCTGAAAAGTTTCTTTCTGTTTTATGTAACTGTAAGCAGAAAATAATTAGCTTTTGACTAATAGTTGGACCCTACAAGCTTTCCCAAGAATTCATGTTGGGCCTGAATTTGTACTACAATGTCTGTAAAAATATTTGCTCCACAGGTTTTTTTTCCATGTTTGAATCCCATTATGTTGCACAACAAAAAATCTATTTTTACTATTGTGTTCCCTGTTTATCCATAAAAAGCCCAAGTCTGAAATATTGTGGAAGACAAAGGAACAGAAACAGGCAGAAAAGAACAGTATTGCGTAAGGATCTATTTCCGTGTGATCACAGCAGAACATTAGATACATGCACAATGTACCTGTTTCCCAAATTATTTTACTGTGTACCATTTACAGCCAGCGAGAACACCGAACACAGACAGCAGCATGCTAATGTGTCATACAGGGACAGGCTGTTGTTCGTTTACTGACTGCCAATACCCAACATGTCCTGATGTTTATAGAAGCCTGGGTACCGAACATGTAAACTAGAGTACAGATGAGTCTCCCTGGAACAATGTGTACTGCAGGCCAATGAGCATGCCAAAGCAGACCATGTGGGACTGATCATTCACTGTCCTCTCCGGCTGATGCTGTTCTCTCTGTGTCTGGCCTTCATCCTATTATTTTGTTTTTCTCCACAACTCAGTGAATGTGTTACTGGCAACTGTCTCCTGAACACGTTCAGTTCTGTGTTTGAAGAGCACTTGTGTGCGACTAATTTATTAAAATGTGACTGATGAAAAAAATAACTCGTAGTACACATTAAATTCAGACAATCACCATAACTTTTATTTATTTTATTTTTATTTTTATTTTTATTTTTATTTTTATTTTTATTTTTATTTTTATTTTTATTTTTATTTTTATTTTTATTTTTATTTTTATTTTTATTTTTATTTTTATTTTTATTTTTATTTTTATTTTTATTTTTATTTTTATTTTTATTTTTATTTTTATTTTTATTTTATTTTTATGATAGACATGTGCCTAGTTGAAATATGTAGTTGCAGTATCAATAATGGAGGCAAAAGACAGAGGAGATCAGAGAGAAATACAGTTCGCCCCTTGTTATATCACTAATGATACAGAATGAAAGGCCATCTGTGGTGTTGACATTTTATTCTATCCTATGTTCAGAGTGAGAATAAGGAGGATGTAGAGAGCAACAGCTAACCAATGGTTCACAGTGACCCCAAGGTTAATGATGTGACAAGGCCAGAAGCTAAGAAATGTTGCTTCAAAACTATGAAACATTGTTTTAACATTGGAATTACTAATGCACTGATATTGTCATAAATACAAATACTAATCATTACATTTTTGTTTCACAAAAGGTTGTTATTTTTTAAAGCCAATATTTACAACTGACTGTTAAAAGAATGAGGCCTGTATTATTTTGCGGAAAATGACGCAGTCTGCATATGCGGTCGCCATCGGCGCTTTCGGTAGGAGCCACCTCTGTCACTGTGAAGAAGAATAGTTTCTCTGTTCCAGAGACCGTATACTAAATTAGTGAAACTTAAAAAAGAGTGTTCCCAGCCGTGATGTTTCAGAGGTAAATGCCAAATGTGAGTCTGTGATGAATCACAGACTCAAACATTATTTCCTTGACAGCAGAGAAGTGATGCATAACTCATTTTCCTCCCTTTTCTCTCAGCAGAACAACAGGAAGGTCACTGCTGTTTGTGTAAGTATAGTCTGAAAGCGTTCCTTTTTACTTACTGGAAATTCTCTGAGACCTTTTTTTTTGTACACTATGTGCCGATTGTGCATCAGATGAAACATTAAGCCCCACTTCTAATCTGATCTGTGCTGAAGGAAGTCAGTCCTCAGAGGCTGCTTTACTGGCAATAAAAACGAGCTCAGAACACAAAGTTCTGTCAGTTTGATACGAACACTAAATTTAACCTTCTTCTACAAATTTACAGTTTTCCTGGAACCTGAAAATATCTAAACATGATCAAGATTTAAAACAGAACAACATGATTCATATGAACTGTCTCATAATCTTACAGTATCAAAGAATGTTGATAATTTCTTTACAGCAGCCGTAAATCCTTAATTAAAATCATTTTTAATGATGTCACCAGTAGACACAAAATCCTTCAATGATAACAGAGCAGAAATGCATTCACTTCACGATGGGTTTCCCAGAGTCTCACCATTTTCGAGCAGTACATAAACACAAACAACTCAGTGAATGGTTTGTTTGTACAGCTTTCGAGCTTCCATTCACGTAGCCGTGTCCCTGGTTCACATTTTTCAGATAACACAGGGTGGACGACAAACATGTTTTATTTTGTTTTAGTTTTTTCTTTCATTGACAACTTTCATTCATCTCTTTTTTCCCCCCAATGCTTTTGAAGTACGTCCATCTTCATTATCCGTTGTTTTCCTTTTTGTTGTTCTTATGCTAAGAAGATAATTATCAGGAGAGGTTGTTGTGAAAGCATCATCAAAGCTCACACTGAATGGGAATGTCCTGAGGGCCAACAGACCTCCTGTAGAGCTCTGGAGATAGCACAGCCAGCTAATTGCTGCTTTAAATGCAAATACCTGAAAATTAAAGGATTAGTCATTAAGTGTTAGGGATAACTACTACTACTAACATCACTTCTTAATTTGACATTTACCAAATAAAGAATATAGACGTACCTTTCCATTTCCATTAAAGGGCTGTTTGTGTTGTGTTTTTTTTTTTTTTTTTTGTACCATACATATAATTAGAGTTGCCAACCATCCCTTGAAAAACGGAATCTTCCACATTTAGAAACAAAAATACGCATTCCGTTGAGCTGAAAAGGGACGCACTTTGTCCCACATTAACGTACAAATCCAAAATAGTCTTTAAAATGTCTCATTAATAACAGAGCACTTTATATGAAACTCAAAATCAAGGCTGTTTTCACTTCAGTTGCTAATATGTAGAATATACTTCCCAGCTCTGTACAACCCCACTTCCTTTTTGTGTATTGAGAGAATTAATATAATTTTTTTTTTCAAATTGACAGTTTCAATAGCTATTTGTTCATTATTAATGCTCTGCACACTGCTGAGTATTTGTTATAGTTTGGTCAAATGTTGTATTCACCATATGTAATAAATTATTGATTTAATAAATGGTTGCTGAATCCTGGCAATTAAAAACAGCCTAAATAACAACCGTATTTATTCAATGTATTTTTTAATGAATTAAAATAACTATTACAGGAACTACAATTACATTTCCCTACTGTTGTTGTTATTATAAGTTGTTTTCGCGCTACTGTTTAGCCAAGCTCTACTGTGAACGTGTTTTGTTTGGATTTCCAAACCTGTCAATCCAGATAAGTCTTCTTAAACCAATCATCTGGATAGTTTCTCTATGGGAGGAGGGACTTCCGTCCATCGCAAAGGTTTGTTTCCGTCTGGTTGCTAACAACCTGCTGTCAGTAACTTCGTCTCTATATCGTCGCTCCATGCAATGAGTGTTCCTGACAGCGGTGTTCGTATCGTGAGTGTGATGATGAGGCCGTGGTAACGCTGAAGTCCCGCTGATCCTCAGCTCCGTGCTGCCTGCATGGTGCTGCTCCGCGGTTCTCTGCCCGCTGTTTTCTGACGCTCGGAGGTTCGCAGTCTTGGCCTCGAGTTGCTGCTGCGAATTAACTTAAATTCACAGCGTCGTCCTACTTTTATCATGTTCATTTCATAAAGATGGCTGTGAGAAGGACACTGTAAACTAAATGACTGTCAGAAACATCGCCTCCATTTGTAATATGGTGAGTCTTGATTTGTCTGTTTTTTGGCTATTATTCTGCATGCAGCCTGTGTCAAGTCTGCTGTCCAGGCTACAGCCTCTCTGGTCTCGTTTGGCCTCAGGGTCCAGTTGTGACAGCTGACAGGCCTGCATCTGTCAGGGTTTGCTCAATAGGAAAATAAATCACCATAGCCATCAGTGACGTCACTGTTGTGACATAAAAGTCATACTCAAGAGTTTATGGTCTTCATTTAAGGTTCATTTCTATTTAAGGAAGTGTTACCTTTTATACGGGATGTTAGCCAATAACGTTTGTCATTTCCACAGAGCAACATCTAGCTCAACCTGATGTTATTAACACTGTCATTTAAAAGGGACTGGGTATTAAAAGTTAGCTTGATTAAACACAACAACATTGATAGGCCACGCAGTGGTTAGCACACTTAGCAGAACAGCCAGATTATTACTTCTTCTGTGGTTTGAAGCCCAGTCTTTTTGTATGGAGTTTGTAGGTTTGTCCCATGGGTTAATGGCTTTTTCCTGGGTTTTTCTTCCACAACAACAAACATGATATGGATATTGTTCACTGTAACTTGACCATAGGTCTGAGTGTCAGTGTGTGGGGTTGTTTGTCTCTATATGTGACCCAGTAATCCAGTGGCCAACTGTCCAGGATATATCTTGCCCTCACCCAATGGTGACTGAGGTTGGCCCCACTTCCCCCCAACTTTTGAAAAGTTCAGGTGGTTGAAGATAAATTTATAAACAAATGAACTGTTAGTGGATGAAACTGTTTTTTCCTACAAAATTGAAACCACATGTTGTTGTGAAGGATCTACAACTCAAAGTTCAATAAAGAAAGACCACCGCTTACCACTGGGGTAATTCAGCCATCCGTTCCTTAAAGTGTCCTTTAAGCTTCGCTGTTCTTACAAAGATTTTCATCCCTTTTTTTTTGCCTGAATTTTACTTCTTTGATGCGTGATACCTTTCTTGTGTTTAGTGAACTAACCATCATCTTGAAACCCAACCTAAAGAAGTATCAAAGCGAGTATACAGATAAAATACTACTCGAACCAGTAAAAATGGTATTGAAATAACTCTAGTACTTCAAGTATATATCATTTATTCATTGTATAGTGTCAGTAGAGGAATACTGTGTTTAAATATTTGTTGTTAAAAGGGTTTTATATACGTATATGTGTATATACATTTTAATTAAAATCATGGACAACAAAATTTAATAAATGCATCTTTTTTACTATTTTATTTTTTGCCATGTACAAATGTGGCTGCTGTTAAAAAAATCATTTCAAATTGCTCTTTCTTACACTATAAGCGTCACATTCTGTGTATTTGCTATTTGAAACGTAAAAGTAACCAAATAAAGGAGTACAGGTTGAGACCATAACAGTCCAGAGAGGGCGGCGTCACATTGTAGGTGTCATCATGACTGTGTTTGGTTCAGATTGTTCTGATCCACCTTGTTTTCACCGGCCATTACGTAGTTTCCCCACCTTGTTAATAAGTGATGCCACTGTCTGCTGTTTATAATGAGGAGCTCAAAATGTGGCATCAGGTGTCAGGGTGTGATGCATGAAGAGACTTCATCTTCTCATGCAAATGCTGGCTCTAGTTTTTCATAGACTCTCTGGTTCCTGACTGATCTGACTGTTCTGTCAGTGTACAACATGTTCTGTCCACTGTTGGATCATTAACTATTTTATACTATTTAATTTATTTCCCACCAGTATAGCATGGGGCCTCAAATTGAGGTCAGTGGCCCAGTGCCAATACACAGTGTTCAGTTACCTTAAGCTGCTGGAACTACGTTTTGAGTATTTTGTACAGAATATCCAGAAGTATTCCAGAGCTAAATATCTAGAGCAGACAATGAGGTATTCAGCAACAGCTTTGACAGAGAGAAATGGTCGTCGTCAAAAGTCAACGCTGTCCACAAACTAAATTATCGTCTCTGTTCAACCAACAAAGCTATGGTTCTTTTGGAAAAGCTCTTGAGGTTTGATGTGAAAAGACTCTGACAAGAGATAAGTGGTCTGTTGCTGCAATCAGACACAAAATACTGTAGACATCTGACAGGCTCGGACTGTTTTAGACCATGTCCCTTTTCTCTTTGACAGGAGATCAACCTTTCAGGAAGCAAAAGAAATAACATCGCCATGGTTTTAGGTTTTCAGCAGAAAGCTGAGACTTTGGTATTCAGCAGAAAGGGATTTCTTTTATAATGAAAAATGCTTTTAGTAGCTTTGAATCTTTACAAATCTGACAATAACAAAATTTACATGACCTATGACGACAAACAGAGTCTGGTCCAGTTTTAAATGGACCTACATGTTTTACCTGTGTCTCTGAATGAACACCAGGGTTCATCCGAGTTCATCTGTAACAATGGGAAAATCTAAAATGCTCTTTGTCCTTTCAGGGCACCAATGCCTCCGCTCTGGAGAAAGACATCGGCCCAGAGCAATTTCCGATCAATGAGCACTACTTTGGATTGGTCAATGTGAGTACTGCCAAATCCTCTCTTTTATCAGCGGTTCTCATTTCCAAAACACCGGTGTAATTTTTCAAAACAAACTGCCACAGGACACCAGTGAGTCACCGTCTCTGCTGGTCAGATTGGCACACGTGTTCACACTTGTTTGTGAGTCTGTTGATCATTTAGGTCAGTGCTGTGTTCTCCTCAGTTGACACCTGCACAAAACAACTCCTCATGCAATAATAATAAAACAAGAAATTACTTAAAAAAAAAAAAAAGCACCCATTGAGGCTTTATCTATGTTACCACTCAGGGTCTGGGCCTTGATTAATTCTGCCCTATCTGTTAATGTACCTGTGGTTGGGTATTTGTGTTTGTGTCCCTGTGTTACTGTACCTGTGTTCACGGTCTCTCCTCAGTTTGGGAACACATGTTACTGTAACTCAGTGCTCCAGGCGCTCTACTTCTGCCGACCGTTCAGGGAGAACGTGTTGGCTTACAAAAGCCAACAGAAGAAGAAGGAGAACCTGCTCACATGTCTCGCCGACCTCTTCCACTCCATTGCCACACAAAAGAAGAAGGTGGGCGTCATTCCACCAAAGAAGTTCATCTCCCGTCTACGGAAGGAGAACGGTAAGGATTCCACATCTGATTAAAAGTCAGGTGAAATGAGCTGGTAATCCATGGCTACAAAGATAGTGTCCAGATGTGACTAATATACAGTGGAACCTCAGTTGTCGAACAAAACTTTAAACTAAAAATTGCCCTGAGTAAGTAAAAACACTAACTTAAAAATGTTGTTATATACAATACCAACTTCATGTCCAATACCTTTATCGATACTGTTACCTGGAGTATCTGCCAGTACCAATACCAATTTAATATTTTCTTTTCCACTCTTTGAAGTTGTAATCGTACATATTTTTAAAGGAATAATAGTTAGTTGAAAAAGTATTTTATCAGTTTACCTATATTTTCAGTATTTTTCTAATTAATTACTGGACATTTAGACTATATGTATTTTTTCTTTTGAAGTATACCAAATTTTCGTTTTTATACTTTTCTCCATTTCTGTCATTTGAATTGTCCCACATCTTGCGCTGCCTCTGGTCTGAGTATCTGAGGTGAAGGACAGCTGTTCACTGGTGCTAAGGTCACTCGGAGCAGAGCTGACAGAAAGGCTGACTGTTCTCTGCTCTCCTCTTCATTTGGATGAACAATGTCGTCTTTGTTTGGACCTACCTTTGGTCAGCAGCCTCTTCTACCTCATACTATTACCCTTCCTCCCCCTTTCACTGTCCTCCGCCTGCTCCTCCTCCCTCACTGCTTACTTTTCATTGTCCACACACAGATATGTCCAAACAGGAGTGTGACAGGACGCTGAAGTCATGGACGCAGCCTCGCTGGTTTTTATTTACACCTCGTAGGATAGAAATTCTCAGTGGAATGCTGGGAATTGAGAAATGTGCAGGTGTAACTGACCGCAGTAATGCTGGCTGTCAGTGTCTTTGTCAGTGAGCCAGTGGTGTTATGAATAACACCTGTGTTGGTGTCAGTGATAAACAACCCTCTCTTTTTACAGAAATTATTTTAAATGTTTTTGTCCCTTTGCACCAGGTTATGTATGATGTTATTTAACTCTACATTTGGAAGGTCAATAAATAAAAATGTCCTCCCAATGTCTCAAATGTCCTCAGGGGTATATTCTTCACCAATTTTCCTCTTGCACATATGTGGTAAATACAACCGGGTCACTCCTCGTCTGGTCCCATGTCCCCTGCAGATCTGTTTGATAACTACATGCAACAGGACGCCCACAATTACCTGAACTACCTGCTGACCTCAGTGGCTGACATCCTGCAGGAGGAGAAGAAGCAGGAGAAGCAGAACGGACGCCTGAAGAACAACGGCACCACCATCACCGCTGAGAACGAGATGGAGAACAAGACAGAACCCACGTGGGTTCACGACATCTTTCAAGGAACGCTGACCAATGAGACGCGCTGTCTCAACTGTGAAACGGTGAGTCTGTACTTCACTCGCCTGCAGAGTTTGGTTTGAGGTGTTGTTCATGTTATGGTAACTGTCCCCACTTCTATCCGTCCTCACTTCACCCCCTCTTTCTCATCTGTCTGAAAAGGGGATTAGATTTTTGCAGAATAGCTAAGAGATGGAAATAAAAGAGTTAGTAAGCACACTAGGTGGTCTTTGACCAACCAGTTTACGTCAGGGTAGGCCAAGGTTTTGTCCTTACAAATGTGAAAGCGTGGGGTGGCGGTGTGGGGGGTTGCCCTGAACAACCTCTGCAAACACTGAAGCACTGAAGAAAGACAATGGTTGCTCACTATAATGAACACATCAAAGGAGCAGTGCACACACACACACACAAGCGCACGTGGGTGTGTGATCTGTCTCATCATTCATTTTATTTGATTACAATGACTGTAATAATTACTATTGCTGCTAATTATAATAATGTTAAACTGCTCCATTGCAATTTGTAAATGTTGGTTCTTGGTCTTATGCACCAGTAAGAGGTTAGAGTTATTTTTTATTTATGATTTTTTTTTTTTTTTGCTAATACAAGTGTGGGTTGCAATTCTAAAGAGACCTCACCTGCCCTGCTTGCATTTGGCTGGTAGTAAAAATTCTTCCATCTCAAGCACTTCCATCTTGTCTAATTGTACACCTAAACACACTGACAATCTCCTGCTTCCCTCCCTCTGGGTCAGGTGAGCAGCAAAGATGAAGATTTTCTGGATCTGTCTGTGGATGTGGAGCAGAACACATCAATAACACACTGTCTCAGGTTGTATTTGTGTTTGTTTAATGTCCACAGTTCAAGAACAGCATTTCAGTGTCATTGCATATTCAATTAAAACGGTCAATAACTCGGTCTCCTCCGTGACGTTGCAGGGACTTTAGCAACACGGAGACTTTGTGCAGTGAGTACAAATACTACTGTGAGACGTGCTGCAGCAAGCAGGAAGCACAGAAGCGGTCAGTATGGACAGTACAGTCGGACATCCTCTGCTGCGGACACAGATTACCTGATTAAACGTGTGCGTCTCTCTGCAGGATGCGTGTGAAGAAGCTCCCCATGATCCTGGCCCTGCATCTGAAGAGGTTCAAGTACATGGAGCAGCTGCATCGTTACACCAAGCTGTCCTACAGAGTGGTGTTCCCTCTGGAACTGCGTCTCTTCAACACATCGAGCGATGCGGTCAACCTGGACCGCATGTATGACCTGGTAGCTGTGGTAGTCCACTGTGGCAGGTACTGGATGGCAGGTCACTTCATGCGCAGAGTTTGATTGTCTTAACAGTACTACAGTAGTACAGTAAGCATCACTACATCACATTTGTTTTAATTGAATTTATTTGTGTCTATTTGCAATGAGCTTTTGGGATACATGAAACAAAAAAAATATTCAGATCATATGTTTGGTCCATATTTCTCAGTTACTTCTTGTTTATTAATCACAGAAAGTGTTGGGCTGAATTCGTAATTCATCCGTCCTGTTGCGGAGTGTCAGATTTTTACAGATTATTTGTGATTTTCCCTTTTCGTGTCCGTGTCCTCAGTGGCCCAAATCGAGGTCATTACATCACCATAGTAAAGAGTCACGGGTTCTGGCTGCTGTTTGATGATGACATCGTGGAGGTACGTCCTTTGACAGTCTGACTGAGGACTCGTCTGTTTGGTCTTTACTGTTGTTGTAGTTGTTTGTCTTGATCCTGAACTACGTTTCTGTTCTGTGGTGCAGAAAATTGATGCCCAGGCCATCGAGGAGTTTTATGGTCTTACCTCAGACATTTCTAAGAACTCTGAGTCAGGTTACATCCTCTTCTACCAGTCCAGGGAGTGAGTGCAGCTGCATCGCCGACACAATGAGACTGAAGAGGAAATTTATACTTTTACTCCTGCCACCTGCATTCCAACCCCACACCTCTTCCTCCTCCTCATCAGACCTGTCCGACCAACACCAGGTGCCATTCCTTTGCCAGTCTCTGGGCTTTAGAGCTCAACCTCTTATCTCTTTGGTTTCTACCACTTGTTTTTTTCCTTTTGCTTTTTTATTTGCCTTTTGTTAAGTTTCTTTTCGTCACCTGCGTCTGGACTGCACTTTAAAACCAAGGAAAAACTGCTTAACGGCTTGAAGGAAGTAAAAACAGATTCAACATTTACAGTTATGGATTCTACAATCTGTAACGCTACACTTCACGACACAGGTAGGTCTGTGATGGAAATGTGAAATTAAAATTACGGTAGACTTACCGTGTTTTCCAGACAATTCGTAACACAGGAATATTAGTCTCATCTGTCTTTTTGAAAGATTTTTTTACACAATAATCAAGGAAGACCGAACAGTAGACTGAATATATCGTCTTCAGTGTCACGTCCTTTTCTTTTTGTTCCCATTTTCTTTGTGTTCTTTTGGAAAGTCTTTTGAAAGTTTTTGTTTTTATTTATTTAAGGAAGTCTTTTATGGTTTATTCATGTAATTGTCTGTGTATACGCTGCCCTCCTGTGGCCACAGATGATATAAGGCACATTTTTCATACATAAGTCACTTCTGAATATAAGAGGCAGAACCAACCAAAGGACTACTAAGAAAAAGTGCATTGTAAAGTCTGGAAAATACGGTAAATAGTCAACTTAAAAAGCACTACAGTAAATATTTCACAAAAAACTACTTTAGATATGAACTGATGAGAAGCGATGTTTTGTCATTCATAAACAGTAACAAAAGACAGAATCGTAGGCCACATTTGAAGGACAAAGGATTCAGAGCTAAAAGCTCTGCATTACTTATGTGTAAATTAGATCCTTTTTAGTGTCAAACTGCATTTCCCCTTTTGGTTCATTGTCTGGTCTTTTCCATGGTTTCTATCCCTGGTGGATGAATGAGAAGTGAACAAGGCTGGAGACAAACACTGTAAAATACACCTTGAAATCTAAGCAATACATTAAGGAATAATCGTAGGAGTCGTTGGCTTGAATCTACCTGTACGTACTGCTGTCTGTCAGTGTCATATGACGACTTCATAACATTACACACACACAAATAGGATTTAAATGAGCTTACTCTTTGAAATATTTAAATCAAATATTAATGCCATATTTATTATTCTTGGTATATTTATTTCATGGGTCAGTAGCTGATGAGATGAACTACGCAGCCCCAGCTCTTTTTAGAGTTTTGTATGTTACAACTGTGTCTCAGTGGGACAGACACGGTGGATGGAAGACACTACTGCTGGGACACATACTGTCTCTTCAACAACAATAGGACAAGGACGCATTCAGTCCATACGTTTGTTGATAATTTTGATTGACAACAACCCTTCAGATTATACAATAACATGACACTAGTGCAGTAATGAGTAGAGTTATTTTTCAGTGACACTAACAAACGAGATACTCGAGTGCAAATGTTGCATATATGAGTGTTATTTACACTTGTCCTGTAGAATTACAAAAAAAGGTTTTATACTAACCTTTTTTTCCTGTTTTCAAGACCCGGTTGACCTGGACATTACAATAGATACATTCATGTGTTTTGTTTGGGGTTGTTTTTGCATTAAAGTGGGGCTACTACTCACTGAGTTACTGAATTCACTTACTGATTTATAACAGTAATAACTAAGGTTTTAGGTTACTGTCTATTTTCTTTTTTTTTTTGCTGGATTTAAAGACTTGGGATTTTGACTTGGACTCGAACACTCGGGATCAACTGCAACATGACACTTGCTATCATTCTTTTGCACGTTTTTTTTCTCTCTCTCTTCATCTACATTTATTAGTATACTTTTGATTTGGTTGATGTAAATGTTTTAGTTTTGCGTGTGTCATACGTGGCACACTAAAATCCTCATTTCAAAACCTTACATTTTAGCCAATGTAGCTCCACTTATTTGTGTTTTAGGTTTTATTTACATTCCCTAAAACAAGTTCAGAACAACAGCTTTTCTTTTACCTTGTCCACTTCACAGGAAACATCTCATCGAACACGAGCAGGATTTAAATAGTTGTTTTCGTCCACGACAAAGATACTGGATTGTGTTTGTGCTGGATGGAGTGAGCTTTTTATTTGTGTGTTGTCTTCTTTGTTTAGTCTGTTACCGGGCGAACTCTCGTGCCAAACTGGAGTGGATGCTGACCTTTGCAGCAGTCCTAATGTAACGCCGTTTTCTTTGCAACCTGTATATTGTGTAGAAAAAGCCTGGAAAATAGATTTCAAAAAAATATTTTTTTAAAGAGCAAGATTTTAGGCTTAACACTGACCATTCGGAGTATGTGTTTGAAAGAAAAAAAATACTGTGCTGTTTTACAATCAGAATCAATCAGAAGTGTGTTCTGAGGTCGACGTCTGTCTGCTCGTTGCTGTTACTGGGTTAAACTGAGCCAGGCTAGGAAACAACGAGGTCGACTCAGGTGAGGAAAACTTTGTCTCTTTGTGTCCTGATCTTCCATGAACACTTATGCACTTAGCCTCACTGAGAAACTCGGTTTTGTTTGCACTTGGTTCTAAACAGACTGGTGACTTGGAAACTGGTTCAACTAGAAAGAACAACAATACAAATCTGTTGACAGTTTTCAAACTCATAACAAAATCCAGTGACACGTCCTTAAACATTTGTTTTCGTTTTTTTTTCCATTTGTCACCTGTTTGTGTATGTTATTATTGTGGTGTGTGATTTCTGAGAGCTCAGGTGAGCAGAGTCCTCCACCAGGGGGTAGCTGAGCTCATTAGACAGAAGGTAGAGAAGGACCAGTCTGGGTGGCTGTGAACTGAAATTGCACTTTATTAGTGATGAGCTTCAGTGCTTAAATATGAAGAACCACAGTCTGATACGTTCATCTTTTCTTCTCTCAAATAAATGACTATCAATACAATTCACCTTTCTTTCTTGTTGTCTTTTGATCCGGCTTCTGGTGACCAAAACTATGGCAGTGGTTCCCAAAGTGGGGGGTAGGCACCACTTATGGAGCATGAAATAAATATCTATATTATTGCCCTTTAACACTGGTCTATACAGATCTTCAACTCTGTCTATCTCAGACATCAGTCTTGGTTTTTACATCTGTCTGAGTTGTGTCCAGACCCTCACCCTGAATTCTCTCACCCCTTAGCCGTGGGAATAAATGTAGTTTCTCCCAGGAGTCTTCTCTGCCACACCTTTTGTTTTGTGTTGATACTGTTCCTCCTCGTGTCCAACCTTTGTCTATCCTGTGTCCCGACTGCTTATGTAATATGTTT